AGGAGAGAGGAGAAAGAGGAGAGGGAAGTAGAGGGAGAAGGAGATGGGGAGGGAAGGAGGAAGGGAGGGAGAGAGGGAGGAGGGAAGAATGTGAATACCAGCTTTGGTTGGCAGGTCTCTGGTCTGTGAGTTGCCACCAGGTCTGTCTCCTTAAACCTGAGGACCTGCTGTGAACTGCTTTAGATACATATATTGAAGTCGCTTTACTATGAAAAATACTATGAAATCAAAAAACACTCCCTGGGTAGCAGTGAACTTGGTTTCCTCATCTATACATTGAGGATATTAATCCCGGCTCTTTGAATAGTTAAGAGGATTAGATGAGATTAACTTAGAAAACACCCACAAAACACCTGGTCCTGCAGAGTTGAAGGACTCAGCAAAGGTAAGAATTATCTCCCTCCCCACACTTTGAGAAGGGCTCACACTCTCTCTGTGACCATGACCTTGGTGTCCTTGGTGTACTTGAGTTTAAGAAGTATCCATTGAACAGCCACTTCACACCAGCAACTCAGTTTGCCTCTCAGGATATGAAGATAAATAGGACCAGGTCATTGTTCTGTGGAAGTTCACCTTGGGGATGGCAGCTGACATGTATTACAATCCCGTGTGGAGATAAAGTTATTCTGCTTGTCTAGGGAGATGGTGCCTGACAGGAAAGCCTGGCTGGGGATTCACCTTGGTTGTGACTCATCCTTGAAGCACTGAGAGGAGCTATCTGTGCAGAGGCACAGAGATATCCACAATGCTAGACAGCGGGCTTCAGCCAAAGAGTGAACCAACCTTGTGGTATCACCAGAATGGAAGGTCGCGAGTGAGGGATGAGCCGGCTTTACTGCTCCATAGAGGGGTCTCTGGACCATGTTGGGAGCAGGGACGGGGGAGCTGTCGAAGAGCGCTGCATGACCAGGCTTTGCATGTCGGTCTACTCTGGCTCATGTGATGAGTGTAGGAGGTCTGGAAGAGGTCTGTCACGAGCATAAGAAAGCCACGGGGGAAGACGGGGTGGTGGTTTGCACTTAAGGAAAGATTGCGGCCTTGGAAGGAAGGGTCAGCAGGGCATTGGCATTGCTTGATTGGCTCTGGGTAGAAGAAGAGCATAGGTTGGAGAAGTAAAGGACAACAGCCATGTTTCTAGGATATTTGGTGAATCAGGTGCTCTGCGGTAGAGTAGAACAGAACAGAAGGGCAGAATTTGGTGGCAACACCATTTCTCTTCAGTGAGTTGAGTTTGAGGAGACTGTGGGGTATTGACAAAAGGTGTCCAGGGGTCAGCTGCTTCTCGGTTCTTAGAAAAGGTGCAGCAGAAGGCCATGGCCCTGTGGTTGATGTCACACCAGGGGCGTCTTAGGCCTTCCTGATGTGGAAGAGGGAAGGGTTCAAGAGAAAAATGGCTGAAAAACGTCTCCGCAGCTAAGATGGGAGCAGATATGGGTTATACAGCGGAGGAGGAGAAAGCCACTGTGGGAGGAGGAAGCTGGATGAAGGGAACATTGGAGGAACCAGAAAAACTCTGATTTCAACAGGGAAGTGGTTGGCAGGTGAAATGACCCCAAGGGCGCCTGTGAGGCTAGCCTGCAGAGGTGTCCTGTGGGCGGGGAGGGGAAGCTATGACTCCAGATTAGCAAACAGGGAAGAGAAAGGCGTAGTGGAATACACCTGTAATCCCAACAACTCACGAGGCCAAGGCTGGAAGATTGCAAGTTGAAAGTCAGCCTGGGCAATTGGCAAGATTTTGTTTCAAAAGAAAATGGACAGGGGGGACCAAGGGACCTGGTGATGCAGGACAGTGGCCGGGCACTTCCATAGCATGCTAAAGGCCTTGGATCTGATCTCTAATACTAGGAAAGAGAAAAAGGAAAACGAAAAGAAGAGGAGACAAGACGAAGGGACAGGGAGACAGTGGTCATTTTTCTCTCGGAAATTTGGATGAGAAGAGCAGAAAAGGGAGATCGGTACGGACAGGACGAGAAACAAGCAGAGACATTGAGAAGCTGGGGCCCTAGCCCAGGGCATCCGCACGGAATGAGAAAGAGCAGATAGGGATGAGTGTCGTGGGTACTGGGAGGGAGGGCATGCCCGACAGAGCGTGGCTGCGAAAGAAAGAAGAATTGGGCTCAGAGCAAAGAGGTACGTGGGGGATGTGCTACTGGACCCTGTCACGTGGAGAGTCAGTGGCCAAGAGAGGAGACAGGCCCCTATCTCCAGATGCCCCTTGTGAGAATTCTGGGAGCAGGGAATAGTCATGAAGATGGGGGTTACATCAGAAACCACCATGTCCCCAGAGCCCGATCCAGGCAGCCTGATGCTTTAATAATGACCTAGTGGTGACCTCTTCTTATCTTTGAGGACAAGTTGTTCCAGGCACGAAGGTCACGTCCTGAGAATGAGGAAGGAAACCAGGAATAAAGCAAGATGGTACCACCAGTACCGTCTTCCACATTGACTTTGTCCTTACTCCCGAGGGTTGGTGACAGGGTGGGAGTTCCCGCTGAGTTTGAAGGTGGGGCAGGGTTGAGGCAGGAAGAAGGAAAAAAAAAATCCTGCTTTTCTTGGTGTCATAAGGGGTGAGGTCATCTGGAAGCTGAGAAGTGGGATGCTCGAGGGCAGTAATGAGGGGTTTGAAGCCCTTTTGATGGAGCGGAGAGAAAGATGATCAAAGACAAGCATCCGCATAGATGCTAGTTCACAACGGAAACAACGGCAAGGCTGTTCTTAATGCCAAGAGCCAGTATCTTTACACTCATTTTCTCCCTTATTCTTTCAACCATCTTCTGAGGAAAATACTATTAATTTACCCCTATCTTATAGATGAAGAAAAAGAAGCTTGGTGAATATCCTAAGCTTAAGACATAGAAAGGAGCAGCAGTGGGCTTCAAACTCACATATGAAACTATGCCCTTAGTCACTTCATCATCCTCCACAGGTAGGGTGGGAGGTTGGGAAAAAAAAAGAATACTTTATGCTTTTAATTTTTCAGTGAGCAGAGTGAGCATACAAAGCAGCAGGTTCCCTTGTGACATTTTTATACACACTTAGTTTGGGTTGGTCCTCCCTATTTCTCCCATCTCCCTGTTGCCCCATCCCAGGCTAGATCCTTCTTCTACCTCTAATATTCCCTATTCCATTCCATCTTCTTTTTAAAACAATTTAAACATTTTAAATTGTGTGTGTGTGTGTGTGTGTGTGTGTGTGTGTGTGTGTATGTTTACGTGTCTGTGAGTTCTGGTGCCTGTGGAGGCCTAAGGAGGGCATCAGATATTCCAGGGCTGGGGTTACAGTGACTGTGAATTTCTTGCTATGGATGCTGGGAACCAAATCCTGGCCCTCTACAAGAGCATCGCATGCTCTTAACTGCTGCACCATCTCTCCAGCCCCCATCCCATCCACTTTATAACACACAAAGGACACCTATTTTGGAGATTGTGTAAGTATGTTTTGCCTGTGGGCAGAGTTCATGGGAGATGGGGTAGATGTGTTTGGTGGTGTGGTCACGGGGAGAGTTGAGCAGAAGGCTGCAGACGTGGGGAAGTAAGAACTGATGATAAGATGAAGAGTAGCAAGGTCACAGAGTGGCAAAGACAGTGGCATTGAAGGCCATCGGGTCTGAGGAGGAGAAATCACAAGGTTAAGGACCAGCAGTGGCTGATGTCCCCATCACATGGGAATCTGCCCACAGAGCCAAGTGACAAGAGTTGAGCACTTGGGATGGGTAAGTCTTAGGGAGCGTTTGCAAGGTGAGGATATAGAAGGGATGGATGGCTAAGAGGGAGACTTCAGCGCTGCTCAGGATCTGTGTGTGGGAGTAGTGCCTTCCACCTGAGAGGGCTCCATGATGTGACCTGAGGGAGCTGATTCTGGGATGGGCTGGGAGGGAGATCCCTAGAGTGGGGCTTCAGGAACCTTGTCCAAGGCTTCAGGAGCATGTCTGGTGTTCCATCGGGGATGGAGCCTTGTCTTCTGTCTGTCCTTTCTCTCCTTTCCCAATGTGCATTCAAACCCTGCCCTTCTTTTCTTCTTCCAAGGGGCAGCTGTCTGGACCCCGAGCTGGTGAACTGTCTGCCATCCCACAGTTCAGCCCCCTCTACCTTCCACTGCATGGAAACTAGGAGCCGGGCTCCCAGAAGACAGATGTGTCCGCCTGGGATCCTTTGGCTGGCCCTGGCCTATCTGCTCAGCTGCCTGCTTGCCTCCAGCAAGGCCAAGGTCTTCAGTCGTTGTGAGCTGGCCAAAGAGCTGCATAGCTTTGGGCTGGATGGCTATCGCGGATATAACCTGGCTGATTGTGAGAACCCTTCTCCCTCCGCTCATTCCCTTGTCTGTCTTTCCTCCTACTCATTCAAAGGCCTTGGAGGAGGCTTTCTGAGTTTAATCCTTCTTGGTAAAACCAGAAGCCAATGAGGTGGACGGCACCCACCTTCTGATTTAACCTCATCCTAGGCAAGCAGCAGGCAAGCAGATTAGAACCATCCCTGCTGCTAGCCAGGAAGTCAAAGGAACCAGCAGCTTTGTAGGTTACACTTCATCTTGATCGTGAGGAACAAATACACCTGCTGAAACTTAGATGGCGAACTGAGCAAACCAATAATATTGCCGACTAGAGGCACTTTCAGGAGACTGTTAAGCCCAGTCACATCTAGATTCATCTTGTCTCTAGTCCTGCCCCCCTTTGTAGAGCTTGCTTGTGTCTTCCTAATCTTGCCTCTAAACTTTTAGCTCTCCTAAATCCATTCAACAAATGCAGCCAACTTTTCTATATACTGCACAGTGAGAGAGTAGGAAGGTTGACAGTCCTGACCCTTGCTTTGAGGTAATTGTATGTAATTTTGGGGCAGTCCCTTTGGCCTCTAGACTGATCCATCTGAAAAGTAGATGCAAGGAGACCTGTTGTTGGCTCCATGGTGTTGAGGGAGCCAGTGTCTAGGAATTTATCTGTGAACCCTTTTGTCTGTGGTGGCCCAAGAACCTGACCTCAGAGCTGTGTCTGTCCCTTGTAGGGGTCTGCCTTGCTTACTACACAAGTGGCTTCAATACAGCTGCCGTGGACCATGAAGCTGACGGAAGCACCAACAATGGCATTTTCCAGATCAGCAGCCGGAAGTGGTGCAAGACTCTCATCCCGAATGGCCCCAACCTTTGCCAGCTATACTGCACCGGTGGGCTAGCCTCTTTTTTGTAGTTTAGTTTTCTTTCCCTGTCTTTGTCTCTAGGTAGAGATCCCCCAGGAGATGGATAAGGGTCAAGTGGTGATGAAAGGCCAGCTATAAATCCAATTTGGGGTCTAGGCTGAGAGATGGTCTTAGAGCTACAGGGATAGAGGGAAGATTGTGGGAGAGAGGGGTAGGGTGACATCTTCAGAGACAGGGGAGTGGTGTTTCCAGAGATGCAGAAGTGGTGTGTGTGTGTGTGTGTGTGCCTGTGTGTGTGTGTGAGAGAGAGAGAGAGAGAGAGAGATAGCACCCCATTCTCTGCCCCCTCATTGTGTTTCCCCCCTCCCACCCCAGATTTGTTAAACCAAGATCTCAAGGATTCTGTCATCTGTGTCATGAAGATAGTTCAAGAGCCCCAGGGTCTGGGCTACTGGTGAGTAACTCCCACTGGAATTGTGGGAGTTGTAGTCAGAACTGGAGGGTAACATTAGGGAACTGACCTTCCATGAGTATCCACTTTATCCTAGGCAACACATTTCTTTGACTTCATGAACCAAACCTCACAACTGGTGTTGGGAATTATGAGACTCGAGATAATTCCGGATGACACAACCAGGGAGGATAGCACTGGCAATCACATGACCACACATCTCAGTCCAAATTTTATATAAAAACTCAAGGTGTATAATAGATGGTAGATGAGGTTCTTTGCTTGGATCATGGGTAGGGCTCTGGAACCTTCCTCTTTAGTTGTTTTTTCTTACCTACTTCCAGAAACATGTTCTCTGAAGTCTTCTCACAATGGTGAGGTTGTCTGAGCATCGGGCTCTGACCTAGATGACTGGTTCATACAACCTGGGTCACAGTTGCCCAAACTCTTTTGATTTGTGTTTCCCACCTGAGTCTCCAACCTCCGCTCTACTCTTGCTTATGAAGGAGAAACCAGAAGGGCAGGGAAGAATCTGGGAAAGGTGAACCACTCCAGGGGTGGGGAACACCCAGACCATGGACAGATATAGCAGCTAATGAGGCCAGGGAAAGAACATTAGGAGACCTTGGAGCAGAAGAAAGGAGGAGAAAATAAAGATGGGGAAGGATTGGTGGATCTATGGGATGCTCTTGTAGGAATCTAGGTGAGACATAGGATTTGGAGAGGGACAGGTGCACCAGGGATGGATGAGAGAGAGAGAGAGAGAGAGAGAGAGAGAGAGAGAGAGAGAGAGAGAGAGAGGGAGAGAGAGAAGAGGAGAGGAGAGAGATAAGGGGCGGGAAGGGATTCAGGAGTAGGTGAGGTATGATCTAAGAGAAAGAGGAGACACTGTAAAGGACTGAATCTTTTTTTTTTTTTTTTGAGACAGGGTCTCTCTCTCTGTGTAACTTTGGAGCCTGTCCTGGAACTTGCTCTGTAGTCCAGGCTGGCCTCGAACTCACAGAGATCCACCTGCCTCTGATTCCCTAGTGCTGGGATTAAAGGCGTGCGCCACCACTGCTTGCAAATGACTGAATCTTGAGATATTCCAGAAACATTACTTGAAATGGACACTGCTTTGTTGGTCTGAGAATAGTTGAAACACTAAGAAGTGAGTTTGGGGTAAGGCCAGCTCTGTAGGATACAGAGCGTGTTTATAAAAGCAGGAAGGGACAGGGTCAGCTCAGGTGTTATTCCAAGAGCTTGCAGCCTTGGTACTCTTACTGCAGAGTTGAAGACCTGGTCTTAATAGGTGAAACCAAAGAACACCTCTGTCACACACTCAGAGTAAATTCCTGGCATGGGTGACTCTTGAGTGTCTGAGGCTAATTGGAAGAAGTGGGTCCAGAAGGTCCAGAGCTGTCTATTCCTGTCCACTCCCATGCACTGGGGATGCAAGGCTGTCTGTCATTCCCGTCCACTCCCATGCACTGGAGATGCCAGGCTGTCCATTCCTATCCACTTCCATGCACTGGGGATGCAAGGCTGTCCATTCCTGTCCACTCCCATGCACTGGGGATGTAAGGCTGTCATTCCTGTCCACTCATGTGCACTGGAGATGCAAGTCTGTCCATTCCTGTCCACTCACATGCAGCACTGGGGATGCAAGGCTGTCCATTCCTGTCCACTCACATGCAGCATTGGGGATACATGACTGTCCATTCCTGTCTACTCACTGCACTGGGGATGCAGGTTTGCAAGGTCCAGGTAGGTGCTGAGCTTCAGAGATAGCTGAGACCTGTCCATGTCTTTAAGTATCTTACAGTTTAATGCAATAGACAATCAACCTGTCTTGATTGACAGTTATTTAGAAGCCTTTCTGATGCACTATTAATCACTGGACTCTTTGACATTGACATCACAATGGACACTAGTTTTCACACCTTGGGATTCCAGAGAACTTTGTGCTCTAGGATCCTATGTTCTTTTTTATCTTCCTCAAGATAGCAGATGTGATAGGACTGGGAGGACAGGTGAGCCCATGAGAATTGCTTGTCATGCAAGAGTGAAGACCCGAGTTGGGTCCCGAGAATATACGTTTAAAAGCTGGTCATTTGTAATCCCACCATAGAGAAGTAGAGACAGATTTTTGAGGCCCACTGGCCAACCAGCCTAGCCTAATTAGTAAGTTAGTTCCAGGTTCAGTGAGAGACCATCTCTAAAAAAAGACAAGGTGAACACTTTCTGAGAAATGACAATCTAGGTTGACATCTAGCCTAACACCACACACACACACACACACACACACACACACACACACACACACACGAGGGGGGGGGAATGATCCCAAAAGAGGAGTATAGTAGTCAATCATGGAAAGACCTAGGCTGGCAATCAAGACATGCTGAGTGTGCATACAGCCGTGTACCCTGGGTGGATAAGTGTACATCACAGCCCAAGTTTTTCCTTAGGAAAATAGGGGAGATAATATTGACCCAATCGACCTCTAGGCCAGCTGGGGACAGGTGGAAAGAACTTATAAGTGGGTGAAGGGTATGGTGGTATGTAGACTGTCAAGGGCTGTACACATGCAAGGTGGTCTCACTGTCCCCAGAAGCACTTGGGTGTAGGAAAGGTGCTTTGCACCTAGGCTCCAGATTCCAGCTCCTAGCCCTTTGACGAGGACACAGGTAAGCTTGAGCATACTAGTTTGTATCTTCAATGGTAAAATAAGGCAGCTAGACATTGACTTTGAACAGCTATTCTCTTTCTTAAAAACCACCTCCTCTAGGTTAGCTCAGCTTATTTGTGGCTTCCCATCCTCTTAGTCCCTTGCTTAGCCTCAGCAACCTTGCTTCTCTTCAGTTTAGAGTCCGGTACCTTTCCTGCACTCTGAATAGCACCAAGGGATGATGTTAATGTGGATTGTGTGTGTGTGTGTGTGGGAGAGACAGGGTTTCTCTGCGTAGCTGTGGTGGTCTAGACTGGCCATGGTGGGGGGGGGGTTAGAGAGAGGGTTTCTCCGCGTAGCTGTGGTTGACTAGACTGGCCTCAAGCACACAGAGCCAGCCTCTGCCTCTTGATCCCTGGGATTAAAGGTGTGCACCACCACCACCTGGCTTGCTAATGTTGGATTCTGTTCCTCCTTGTTTTCTACCCACAGGGAGGCCTGGAGGCATCACTGCCAGGGCAAGGACCTCAGTGACTGGGTGGATGGCTGTGACTTCTAAGATCCTCTCTGGATGGACCAAGCCACACACAGCTGACTGGGAAGTGTGGCTTTGTTCCTGACACAGGCTTGGGAAGACAAGCCAACTAATAAAAGTCTAACTTGATGTGTAAGATGTTTCCCAGCGTTCTGCAGGTCTGCAGGCACCCAGCTGGAGCCAGAGCCTCCTCTTGTCTCACCTCACACGCTCACCTGGGCTTGGTTTCAGATGGACTCCAAAATGCCCATCACGAAAGGGGATAAGGTCAGTACCTACCTTCCCCATATCTGACAGAGTTTGGGTTTAGAGTCTCCGTATTTAGCAAAAGCCAAAACAGAGCAGAAATAGGGTTAATTTGGACTTAGTTAAATTTGGATTTCAGCTACACGAGTAACTTTAATGTGCACGTATAATTCAAATATTGTATGGCTCACACTAATATTGAAGAACCTACTTGTATATATGGAATTCAATTTTAATTGGGAGCTTCTGTATTTTTACCTGGCAAACCTAGAAAAGTCTGGTGTTGGGAACCCCTGGCATATTTGGAAAGATGCTTGGAGTGGCTTACTTTCTGCAGTTCTGTAGCTGTAGCCACCACAGCCTTAACTCTTACTCTGGTGTCTCCTCATATCCCATGGTCATGTGAAGAGCCACAGGGGTGTGTCCCGTCCCTAAGTTCTGTCCAGTGTCATCGTCGTAGGTGTCGTTGTTGTGAGGGTGTATATATGTATCTCTGTGTGTGTGTGTGTGTGTGTGTGTGTGTGTGTGTCTTTCTTTATTGGGCGCCTTGCTCTTTAGTGCCCTCTAGAGGCAGGAGATTCAAGTGGCACTGTTAATAGCTGGTCAGTTCTTGGAAGAGGAAGTCATAAGGCGCTGCCTGCCCTTAGGAGGCTGGAAGATGGAGTGGAGCTTGCCACCAGTGGGTTTAGAGGGCAGCAAAATGCGGAGTGCCTTTTCCAGTATGTGGGAAGTTCTGAGGAAGGCAGCACTGCCCTCACTGACAGGACCTGTCTCAGGTACCAGGGACATCTGTATTTAAAGGAGTAAGGCAGGCAGTCTTGAGATGGTTAGAATAGCAGTTGTCGTAGTTAGGGCTGCTACTGAGAGGAAGAACCATGGCCAAAAGCAACTTGGGGAGGGAATGGTTTATTGGGCTTACACTTCCTTATCATGGTTCATCACTGAAGGAAGCCAGGACAGGAACTCAGGCAAGGCAGGAGCTGATGCGGAGGCCATGGATGGGGTGATGCTTACTGGCTTACTCCTCACGGCTTGCTCAGCCTGCTTTCTTACAGAACCCAGTACCACTGTCCTGCCCACAAAGGGCTCGGACCTCCTACATCCATCACTAATTAAAAAAAAATTCTCTACAGGCCTGTCCACAGCCCGGTCTTAAGGAGGCATTTTCTCAGTTGGCATTGCCTCCTCCCAGATGATTCTAGTCTGTGCCAAGTTGACATAAAATTAGCCAGTACCGCAATAGAGGTGATGGGAGGATGACGTGTAAGAAGAATGAGTCTTGAGTTTAGACTGTAGCATCCTCTACAAGGGTTTTCACTGGATTCTGTGTAAGCTGTGAGTTGAGGCATGGTTAGTGGCTCCTAGGGGGATGCCACCCAATGTTCCCTTTCCCTAAACTGTTGACAAATACTGGAGGAGTGGCTGAGAACCTACAGTTGATGAAATAGGTCCGTTTCCATTTACTACTGGACTGGTCAATGAATGATAAAACAAGGGAGCTGTTTATCCAAGTGGACAGTGGTAAAACATCTTGCTAAGAGGTGACATTGATGACTAATAGATCGATTAAATCACACAAATACCCTGTGCTGACCATGTGCCATGCATTATCTGATTTATACCTGGGGACAATAATAATGATGTGGGCACCACTATCCTCTCATTCTGTAGATAAGGACACAGATTCAGGGAAGGACATTTTGTACCCAAGTCACTCTGACCTCCTGAGTGTATACAGTCACCATACACGGACCAGGGGCTGATGCTCAGAGATCCAGGGCTCCTCTGTGTTGGATGCTTTAGCTTCAGATGCCTGTACCTGCATTCTCTGATAGCTCCAGTGGGCCTCATTCAGTTAGTCTGGGAAGAGAGCCCAGGAATGGGTAAAATGGGGCTCCTGGAAGTGAGAGGAGAATTCTTAAAAGGATGTGGAGACTGCTATCCTGGCCTCAGGCCTCTTCGAAGTAAGGTTGAACAGTGTCAGGTCTGGGAAAGGGGACCCTGGAGGCTCGGGCTAGGGTGTTGACTGGGGGCAGGTGGAGATGGAGAAGGCATAAAGAGGAGAGAGTGCTCTGGTCAAAGTTACAAAGGCCTGGATTATGGTGAGGGTTGGCAGCGCACAAGCTCTCCTAAGAGCGGAAACTAGAGGAGCACCGGGTCCCAAACCCAGTGCCTAAGAGAATGTTCAGGTCTCTTAGGTACCCTGGTTACAACGTGGGGCTTCCCCATTTCTCGACCACTCGCCCCTACAGTCTTCTGCTCATGGAAGCTTGTCTACTTGACCTCTTGTTGTTGTATTGTGCATCTCTCTCCCGTGTTTGTGTGTGTGTTGTGTGTGTGTGTGTGTCTGTATGTGTGTGAAGGTACATGTGGCTGTCAGAAGTTAACCTTGGGGGTGCTCCTCAGACACAGTTCTCCCCCCTCTCTCTTTCTCCTTCCTTTTTTCCTTCTTTTCTTTTCCTTCATTTTTGCAGCAGGGTCTCTTACTGGCCTGGAACTCATTGACTAGGATATGGGCTGGCCATTGGGCTCCAGGGATCTTCCTGTTTCTGCTTCTCCAGCATTAGGGTTACAGATATGTACCCCTGTGACCGGCTTTTTTTTGTTTTTGTTTTTGTTTTTGCTTTTGTAAATGTGGGTTCTGGAGATTAAATGTGGTCCTTACACTTGTGTGGCAGGCATTTCTCAGCCTGGATGCTTATTAGAGGAATACTGCTTACTTAAGGGCCACAGGGGCCAGTGCATTCTTGGGCTGGTGGTCCTGTTAGAAAGCAGACTGAACAAGCCATGAAGCCCCAAACCAGTAAGCAGTATTCCTCCATGGTCTCTGCATCAGCTCCTGCCTCCCAGGGTTCTGCCTTGACTTTCTTTATGATGGACTGGGACTGGGGCTGGGACATGCAAGGTGAAATAAACCCTTTTCTACACAAGTTGCTTTGGGTCATGATGTCTTATCACAGAACTTGAAACTCTAATAAGACAGGATCCCTGCTTTAAAAAAAAAAAAAAAAGCAAATGAAATCCAAGAGCAAGGGCACGACAAGCTTCAATGGCCATCCAAGAACATCACGTTCTTGCTTCCCTCCTCCTCTAGCATCCAGGCTGTGAGCACATCTGTAAAGCAGGTGTTACAGTTGCTGTTCATGTATTCGGGTCTCTCCAGCTCTTAGCATCACCACACGCATAAACTGATTTTATAAAATCCCATTTCTGAGTTTTCCTGTGCGTGTTCGTTTTCTGCTCACTCATTCGCGATGCCATCTGTGAGAACAGGCTCCATTCACGAACGGCAGCAGGGGTCAAAGGGTTAAAAAAATTAAGGAGGAAAAAAAATTGAAATGGATCAAACCCTATCCTTTGTTTTCCCTTCCGCAAATTGAAAAACGACCGTCATTATGCCATTCTGGGAGAAGAAACATCGGTCCCTCTTTTGTGTGCTACGTGGGCTCTTTGGGAAATAGTCAGCACTTTCTAGGTGACGGGCAGCATCCGTGGAGCCATGGAGGGCCACAGATGGGCTCCAGGGCTTATGCCTTGAGCCCAGCCTCATGGCCATGAAAATCTTTCCTGGGAGGGGGATTCCTAGCTTTCACTTTATCTAAAATGACACAGCGATCCAAACAAGATTAAGAATCAATACGCTTCAAGAAGCAAAAAGAAAAAAAAATCATGGAAAAAGTATCTTATGTACTTGCTTGCACGTGTGCTTGCGCATGCATGTTCATTTCTCCCTTGCATGTCTCTGTTTGGGGGTCCTTTACTTGGTCCAGTCTCCTAAACTCTGCCTATTCTAACTGGGACCCGGCTTATACCTCACTTCACGCCCCTTCACCTGGAACCCAGATCTACCTGTATGTTCGTCAGTGTTTCCATTCAGACTATAAACGTCATGAGGGCAAACGCCTGGTACACAGCAGTTGAGGTGAATGAACGGTGGGCCTGTGTTCTTCACGTTTTGGCTGTTGGCCTCTTGTTTGTCTTCCTGTTCCTCCACTTTGCCAGGAAGCTTGCTCCATGCAGGATGGGGACGGCCCCCATTATGTGGACCAGGATGGCAGAACTCTCCTGCGGAAGGAAATCTTTGATCTCTTTGACCTCTCTGAAGCCCCTCTCTTCTCTCTGAGGAATCCAGTCACTGGGGCCGACGGGGACCTTTGGCTGAACACTCCAAGAATGGCAGGTTTCAAGTCTGTGAAGGACGAGGTCACCGGGCTTCTCCTTGGACCTCTCTACTCAGATGGGCTGAGCCCAGCTTCCTGGAAGGGACATATCACCTGGCAAGCCCACACCTGTGGGCGGCAGGATCCCATTGCCGCCCCTAGCTTACTAGGAGCTGGACCCTCAGGGGACTTGAGTCTCTCATTTGTGATTGTCACACTAGAAGCTACTCTCTAGGCATGCTCACAGTTAAAACAGCCACAAAAATAGCTTCAATCTGGAGAGAGGAAAATAAAACAACTCTGGTGACTTTGCCAAAAACAACAAAGCCACAGCCTGTGCGCAGCCAGCGCGGTCCCTGGCACAGCTTGGATGCACACAGAAGGACTCATTCCTTTTGCTCCACTGACTGTAGCCGCCTCCTGGACTCTCTGTCTGTGAGGCCGCGGGCCACTCATTAATCAACTTATCTCAGCCTCCAAGGCCACTGAGAATCCAGCCTTGAGATGGGGCCACGGGACTGTTCTCAACCTCAAGTCTTTGTGTTGTTTTCAGTGATCCCTTTGATTGTGACATTGCTTGAGCGTCCTCTGCACACCCGACACTCCCTGATGATCACTCAGAAAACATCTGTATATACATTTCTTAGGACACTTGTTTGAAATGACAGCAATATAAACGCCTTGTCACTTACTGGAATTTAGACTATC